CTCCATGCTAAACAGCTGTAGCAACTCAGTTGTATGATGACGTAGCCCCCCGGCCCAATGTGACCAACCTGCAAGTGAAAAATACCTTAACCCATCAGCAAACCAGACATCATCAGCAAACCGAAGAACATGCATGGAGGTACTAGTACGTTAAAACGCATTTCCGAATAGGTGCTGCAACACACGAGATTGTCGTAGAACTTGCGAAGTAAAGGGGAAAAATACTAGTCAGTTTTCAATGGCTTTGGCATGCAAAGCCATCCAAGCGTGGAAAATAGATCCCTTGGTTGCGATAAGAGAGCTGTATATGAAGAAGCTCTACAGGTATATAACATGTTTGAGCGATACTTGACCATATTCTAATCATACAACGATATGGCTAATATATGCCACTAGAGTGCTCCAGCAATCTAAACATGAGCCAATTGTGGTTATCTTTATCGCAGTCTTTGTGGATCAGTACTCAGGTATGTGGCTAATATATGCAAGAACGGTTCAGCAATAACACCAGGTTCTAATCATACATGGCATGCTAGCATTTAAGTCTACAATGGGCACTAGGTGCCACATTAATATTAATGTCCCAGAGGTGCAAGCAATTTTAGATAAGTAAAAAAGAAATCACTTACCAGAAATAACTATGTTTACTTTTCCGCCAAGCTGCAATTGATTCACTGATGAGAAATATTGATCATTCAGCACCAGGGGCATGCCTCATGAGATTGAGATGTAGCAATCAGGACTGAGTCGGTCAAAATCCACTGAAGCAACCACTGCAGGGCTAGCTGACCTGGATCCATCAGACATGATGTTAATTAGCGTGTGAACAAAAATAGTACTATAGACTGAAAAGATGTTTAATATGTTGTTGCTCTATACATGATAAATTTTATGTGATAAAAATCTAGATAACTGAAATAGTGTCAACAGAAGACGACCGGTGCTATATGACATGCAAGGTGTGCTCGAAAAAACTGCACACAGAAAATGATAGCTCAGTGTTCGGCGTTTCCAAGCCACTTGTTTGGTAATACATCCATAAGATCCAAAAGATAAGCATGAGAAACCGATTATAAACTGTGAACACATTGGTGCTGGTACATGATCATGGTGCACGCCATAGATGCAGAACAAGACAACATTGTAGAAGCAAGAGTTGCACTTATAACATTAACAGAAAACCAAAACAGAATGAGCGAACCTTATAACATTAACAGAAAATCAGACATCATGCATGGAGAGGTACGAGTACGCTAAAATGCATTTCCGAACAGGTGCAGCAACACATGAGATCGTCGTCAAACCTGTGAAATAAAGGGGAAAACACTAGTAATCACAAAAAATTGTTTCCCTTGTTAAAATACATGCCACGCTTGGCCTATGTGGACTGGAACTTTTACTAGCTTTGAAAGCTGCACAAAGAATCAGTAGCGGAGGTATGTTGGGGCCAGGGGGCCCTGCAGTGATTACTAGTATTTTAGAGAGACTTAGGCTGCGTTTGGTTCAGCTTTTTTTTACCAACTTCTGCTTTGAAAAGCCAAAAGCTAACCAAAGGGGTAAATTTTCAAAGCAGCTTTTGAGAATCTGTAGCTTCTCCCTAGTGTAAATTTCAAAGCTGGGGGTACCCCAACTTTTCAGCTTCCAGCTTTTCCACAACAGCTTTTTCAGAATCTGCAGCTCAACCAAACACAACCTTAGATTAGCACCCCCCCCCCCAAGTGATTTTCGGCTAGCTCTGCCACTGTAAAGAATATAAGTCAGATGATGGAACATTCATGAAGAAAAATCCTTTTCTTTTCAGAAGAGAGTTTTGAAACAAAGGTAAGTTGATGATTAGTAAAATAGGATTTTAGTCTGCGATACTTTTGATATCGACTAAAATTCTAAAAAGCAATATCTGACAAAAAAAATCTCCTACCTGACTAGCGACATCCTGACAAGTAGCCACATATGGCATTGCTCTCGGCCACAGACTTGGCTTGAGACCTGACATATATGTAGGGTGACATGATGTAAGGATTGGTACGAGCGGCTAGGATTGACCAGTTCAGAGAAGGCCTATTTTGAAGGACACTGATGTAACTTTTAGTTTTAGTAGTAATCTTTGTTGTTTGTGTGTGTTTTATGCGATAACAAATAAACTCAGACCTTCAGCTGCAAAAAAAGAAAACACGTGCGTGCACCAAAACAAAACCATAACAAATCATGTACGTGAACAACGGGAACAACCTGCGAATGTGTTGAGTTGAAAACAAATGAACGGTTCCACTGAGGCATCTATTTCTCGGTACTGTTGAAGCATGACAAGTGCCTCCTTCGTGATTTGTACTACTATATATAAGATTGACATGAACAAGTACATCAAAGGCGGCCGCGCTTGGAAATGTATTTCGGTACGGAGATGTTTAACTTACACCAGCCGCTGAGCAACTTACGT